CTTCATTTCTATTTCTGGATCTAAAACCAAAAAAAAAAAACAAAAAGTAGGAGTGGTGATAGTCATTGACGAAAACTATTTAAAACTATCGTAAGAGTATCGAATATCTGTCGTTTATAGATAACAAAAAAAAAAAAAAAAGAAAAAAATAACAAAAAAATAGCAAAACAAAAAAAAAAAGAAGGGCGGGGGTGATGTAGACACACACTCGAATCAAGGAGATTCTTTAAAACCGTTTTGAAAGGTATCCCTCAGGTTTGAGCTTTTAACAAGCTTTTCTAAACTCAAGGAAATCTCGAGGGGAAGAAGACTTATATTTCGATGCTTTTATCGTTTATCCTCTCTCTCTCTCTCTCTCTCTCTTTCTCTCTCTCTTACACACACTCGTTGACCGATACAATTATTAATTTTATTTCATTTATTTTGTATTCTTTTAAACACATACACACACATATATATATATATATATATATACACTAATATCTCATGATCTTAGTACGATTTAAGTACTTGAAAAATCGTGAATACATTTACATGGGACACCCTGTATATATATTGTATATGTGTAGAAAATTTGGTCTTTGATTCAAAAGAGATAGAAAGAGTAATAGTGATTGTGAAATTTGATCAAATAAAAAACGAAAATTGTTGTTTCATTGAAATTGTTGCTTAGGGTTGTCGAACATTACTTTTAATTAGAAACTTAATTTAAATAGAATATCCGTAGATTCAAGTATACATACATAAAGTTAGTATATATATATGTATGTGTACATATGTACAATACTTACACTTCTTTAAATTGGATATATGCATTATAAGCTCTCGAAACTTTTAAAAGGTTTCCACGTATCACGTTGTGCATTTATCCTTTTTTTCTTTTTTTTTTTTATTCTCCATCGACGAAAAAGTCAAGTAATAATATTTTTCAATATAAATTCGATTTTTCTCATATCTCTCTCTCTCTCTCTCTTTCTCTCTTTCTCTTTCTTTAATAGAATTTTACTTTTTTTTTTTCTTATTTTATCATTTCGTAAAATGTACGTAAAAGCTGTTACCAATCGTTCCTTGTTATATATCCCATTCAACTAAACCAATTTCTATTTCAATTTGTGTAATCTAACGTTATCATTCATTACAATATTTTATTAATAAATGCATTTTATGTAATACTATTAGGTCGAGTCATAAATAACTTCTGTTTTTTATGAGACAAACAATGTCGTTTCTGTGACTGATAAGTGCAAGACACCTTTTATGGAGTTTTTCTTTTTTTTTGCACTCTTTGCAATTGTTCAACGTATCTATTGGATTTTGTTCTAATATTACCTTTAAAATTTACAAAGCAATTTCTGACTGCCCTATCAGTTATCAGTCCTGCACTGTATACGCTGCATATTTTTTCAGTTGCCACCTTAGTGTTATTGCCCTGTTTCAATTCTTAAAGCGTTACATGTCGAATATGTACTTTTCACTATCCAATTTCAGTGGTTAAGAAAAACGGTTAAATGTAACATTGACTGCATAAAGAAACATGTGTGCAGATCACACGTGTTAGAAGTGAAATCTTCAAGAAACTAAGTTTCGAGAGAATGAGACCAATACAAAATATCTGCTGTAGGATAATTGTATTCTCTTCTTATTTAGTAACGCGGCCGTTTCATTGCCTCCCACCGCTCCGTTACATAGCCGCCTACCGCTCCGTTACATAGCCGCCTACCGGTCCGTTACATTTTTTCAAATCACACCCATTCTAAAGAAGTTTTTACTTCAAAAAGTTGACAGAAGACTAACTGAATCCCTCATCTATACAGTGATATCAAAAATCCGTTTGTTTCGGTGACTTATAATAGGTAAATACGAAAAATAGATTCTACATAGCTGCATCGGAAGTTACTTATGACTCGAACTAATATATAAAAATATTTTTTCATGGATTAATATAAAATTAAAAAAAATAAAATAGCATCAATATTGTTCGAAGAAAAAAAAAAATATGAATGTGGCGTGTTGGTTGGAGCCCAGTAAGAAGAAATTGGTCGGAAACGATTTCAAGAGAAAGAGAAAGAGAGATTTTTCTTCTACACTTGGAAGTTTTAAAAAGAAAGAAATTAGGAGAGAGAGAGAGAGAGAGAGAGAGAGAGAGAGAAAAAAAGATGAGGTGGAGAAGAGGGTGGTAAAGAGAGGGAGAGGGAGTAAGAGGGGGAGGGGGAGAAGTAAAGCCCGTAGAAAGAGGTTACCTCGATTCCTTCCTTACGCGTACGTACTTTAATACGTATTCTCTCCTTTCTAAAGAGGAACCTAGTGTATTTGAGTGTTGGTGTCCCGTCATTTTTTTTTTCTTCTTTTTTTTTTTGTCGAGGGTGAGCTTTTTGGCACACTCTTGTGCTCTTTACTATCAACCACCCTCTCCCCCCTTCCTCCCACCATCATCTTTTTCTTCCTCTTCTTCCTCTTCTTCTTCTTCTTCTTCTTCATCTTCCGTAATTTTTTTTTCTTTCTCTCTGTTTCTCTTCTACTACTTTTTCTTCTTCATCTTCTTCAAGCATTTTTTGTCTTTTTTTGCTATCATCTCTGGAGAGAACGATCGATCGATCCTTCTTCAACCTCCCAACCCCCATCCCTGCTTCTGTTTTCAACCCCCTGAGCAAAATGCTTTTGCTCAGTCGGTGGTCCATGCCACACAGACCAGCCACCCATCCACCCCTACCACCACCACCACCACCACCACCACCAGTACCTACATTATCGCCAAATGACCCCGTTGAGACGAGCCGATCAACGTGAAAGGTGTATATCGTACTTCAGATAAACCAACTTAGGTTTGAAGTGACAGACAGAGAGATAGAGAGAGACAGACAGAGAGACAGAGAGAGAGAGAGAGAGAGAGGTATAAAAAAATATAAAAAAAAAATAAAAGAAGAGTAAAAATAATAATAAACGAAATAGATCCATTTAGTTGACTGCATATTTGATCACACATCAAATATATATAATTATTATTATTAATAATTTTTATATATTATATAATTGTTATATATTAATAAATATATATATATAAATAATAAGAATTTTTTATAATAAATTTAATATAAATTAATTATCAACTATTAAATATATTATAATAATTAATAATAAATATATATAATTATTAAATATAAAATAATATAAATTAAAATATAAAATTTGTTATAATAAAAAAATTTGATCACATCAAATATATATATATATATATATATATATTATATATCTAAAAATTATCTAAAATATTTATCTACTCTATATACCTATATATATATTTATATATTTGATATGATCAAATATGCAGTCAACTAAATGGAACTATTTTATGTATTTTTATTTGTATTCTTCTTTTATTTTTTTTTTACATTTTTATATATATATGTATTTTGGTGTATTTCTATCGTAAAAAGGTATTGGATTTCTGTAAAAATATGAAGAATCGTTTGAAAAAGTCTATAGATATATAAGTGTTGTGGTGGTAGTGGAGGGTGCCATAAGATGGCCTTGAACAATAGTAATAGAGTTTCCGAACGTTTACGTAGCAAGCAGTCTTCTTCAGATTCTATTTGAAATTCAAAGCCGATGAAATGTCATGAACGTAGGGTAAAGCTTTAAAATCACGTTTGGTCTTCGGCTGTTGTTATGCTTACACAAAATCCTGTTTTTATTTCTTCTTCTTCTTCTTCTTCTTCTTCTTCTTTTCACCCTTCCACTCTCCATACTTTCCCCTCTTTCTATATATTCATGTTACACACACACACACACACACATATATACTTTGTTTTATTTTTCTTACAACTTTTCTATTGGATTTAGGTTAATTAAGTATTGTACTTATTATACATCTGGTTTTTTTTTTTTTTTAAACGAGATTTATATTTTTGTAAAAAAAAAAAAAAAGTAAATATGTACACAATATTGAATTGTTCATTTCTGTAATTGCAAAATTACGTAATATTTATAGTGAAATTATTATTATWAGTAGGGGTTGATTTTTCTTCGAAAGTGAACCTTTTAACGGGGGTTGGGTTGGATGGGGGGTAGGGGGGAAAGGGAAAAATACTTGAAAGCATCGATCGAAAGGGATGAACTACTTATTTACTTTGGCACACGACCTTCTTACGTTATTAGAACGATTATTCTTTACGTTATCGTTCCAAATGCTAGAAATTCGAGTTCAATTTTTCGAATAATTTTTCCTCATATTTTCCTTTTTTTCTTTTTCTTCTATTTCTTCTTTTTCCTCATTGAAGAAAAATATTCTATCGAAATACGGTATTCGAGATATGAATATATATATACGTATAACTACTACTTTAGTCGAAAAGTTTTTGGAAGAAGAAGAAGAAGAAAAAAGATAAAGTAAGGAAGAAACTTTTTCTTTTTCACGAGTGTTTCATTCCTATTTACAAGTTTACGTAGTTACTTACATAATAATGTAATTTATTATAGTTCTATGTTATACGTATATATATATATACACAAAATAATAATAATGAAATACATGAAATAATAATAAAAAGGGAGGTTAGTTACGCCATATGTAAACCTGAAAAGAAAACGTGAAATAATTGAATTATAATACAGTGCCATCTATTAAAAACTTACAATACTTAAAGACCCATATAACCTTTAAATAACCAATCCCTAAATTAGCCATAAAAGATACTAAATAATATCACAATTAAAAATGGAATATATACAATAATAATACTATAAAAAAAAATATAAAAAGTGAGGTTAATTACGCCATTTGTAAATCTGAAAAAGAACGTGAAATAATTGAATTATAATACAATGCCATCTATTGAAAATTCATAGTATCTAAAGGCTTAAAATTAGCAATAAAAAAATACAAAATACAATAATTTCGAAGTTCATTTTGTAACGAACAATGTGACACTGTATTTTTAAACATAAATATATATCATATGATAATAATACACAAATAAATACATTCTCACATTATTTTTCAGGAAAAAGGAAGAAATATCGAGGATTGAGGATTACATGCTGAAGATTTCAAGGAACAAACAGGATCAAAACTACTACAACCTTAATAATAAATTCAAAGAATCCGAAATAAAAGAAATCTATCGTCAATCATCGAGTAAGAAGAGTAGTAGAATCAACAAAATCGTTACGATGTGATCGATCAAAGTTAAAAGACAACATTTAAAAAAAAAAAAAAAAAAGAGGGGCTTCTCCAGCCAGGTTCTTCACTGGCAAGGGATGTCCTCCTCAGCGGGCACGAGTTGCACGGACGCCGAGGAGGACGCCGAGGATGTGGAGAACGAGGTCGTTGAAACGAGGCCTGCTTCGTTGTTTGCCCGTTTTCCGTCGTCATCTTCTTCACCCTCGTCATTATCATCATCGACAACATCGTCGTTTAAAACCAAAACAAGAAGAAGAAGAAGAAAATCAACGTCGCCGTCGTCGTCGTTGTTGTTTTTATTTTTATCATCTGCAACACCATCATCTGCAACACCAACAGCAACAACAACAAGAAGAGGAACAACGTCATCATCGTTATCATCATCATCATCATCATCGTCTAACTTTAATTCATCGTCATCTAATATTATTATTACGTCACCAAGTTCCACGGCCAGCATTAGCTATAGCTCGGCCAATCGCGTGGAAGGACTGCGGTTAGATGGGTCAGTGCTCTTATTTGGCACGTATCCATCAGCACCAACAGCAGCAGCAGCAGCACCAGCAGACCAGAGGGAATTTACGATCGTATCCTAAAAGAAAACTTGATTCTTGGCTCACCTATTTATACTGTTACTATAAAAACAAAAACAACAACAACAACTGGAACAACTGGAACAACAAGTATTATTGCGACTACTACAACTACTACAAGTGCTACTACTATTTCATCATTATTATCTTGTTCAATCAATTTGTTGATTCCTCAAACTATTCCTTGCTTATCCGATCGATCTTTGTCCTAGTCATCGATGTGACTACTTTGTTAGTCATCTTGGTCAATAAAAGTGGGCCAAAGGTCATCGTCCTTCTATCGATCAATCTCTCCTCCCTTCTATTCTTTTCTCTTTCTACTTCATCTTATTGGTCTATCTTAAATCTTTGTATTATTACTACTACTACTACTACTACTATTTCATCGTTAAAAAGAAATAAGAGACTACTATTAAAAGTAAGAAAACTTTCGTATTTCTTATCTGCCAACACTGCGATGTCGCGTGGGAGGGAAACTATCTTCAGGTGACGAAAGAAGCGTCACGTTATCCTTTTATTATTTTTCTTTTTCTTCCTCTTCCTCATCCTATTCCTCATCCTATTTATCCTTATCTTATTCCTTATCCAATCCCTTATCATATTCAATAAGCATAATATTCGTGTATATAATAATAATAATAATAATAATAATAATACGATTTGGGAGTATCGATGATTCGGCCAGCGGCGATGACGATAACCTTGACGATGATGATGACGATGATGATGATAATGATAATGTTGTCGTCAATGATTATACCGATTATTATGACGATGATGATGATGATGATGATGATGCTGATGGTGATGACGACGACGATGGATTCTCGTTTTTGGATATCGCGAGTGTGCCAGTAGTAGTGGTGACGTGTGTGAACAAAGAAGGAAAAGGGTGAAAAAGGGTGACAAGAAAAAGGAGGGTGACAAAGAGAGAGAGAGAGAGAGAGGGGAAGAGAGGAAGGAAGAAAAACACAAAAAGGGAGGCAGGAAGGAAAGAAGGAAGGAAGGAAGGAAGGGAACACAAAAAAGGGCTGCTGCAATGCGGTGCTCAAGGTACCGGCTCGAGTTCCTCCTCGTCCTCGTCGTCGTCGTCGTTGTCGTCGTCGTTGTTGTCATCCTCTTGGTCCTCCTCCTCCTCCTCTTCGTCCTCCTCGTTATCGCAGAACCAACGAGCTCCTCCTGATAGTCATCTCAAGTCAACGACCACGGTTCAGGATCGTTCAACGAAGAAAGAAGGATGCCAGGGGGCCGTAGGGGCCTGGTAGCCCCCCAAAATACGTTCCTTGAGAACATCATCAGACGTAGCAACAGTCAACGTGAGTTTTTATTCTTATTTTGTATTTTTTATTTAATAGTTAAGCAATTTTAGTATTTATAGTATTTGTGATGAGGTCAATCCAAAAGTTCGTACCTCTATTGTGTTTTAATTTTAATTTGAAATTTCATAATGGATTGGGTGTTTTTCTGTTGTATACAATTTATTTTGGGGAATATTAAGATATTTTTATTTATACAAATTTTGATATAAATCGTAGTATTTTAGGGATAGGACAATTATAATTTTTATTAATATTTAATTAACGTTATTTGAAAGGATAAGTTGTTTGCACTTGTTGTAAAAATAAAGGGACACGAATTTTTGGTTCACCTTAATAGGACCAATAATAATCATTTGTTATATTTATTATTTAACATTATTATAATACAAATTCTTATGTGAATATTTGGTTTATTTTTGTTTAAATTTTTGCATTTGTATTTTTCATAATTATACAAATGGGATGGAGGAAGGGTTTACTGTTAATAAAAAATTAAATGCTTGAACGGGGATTAATGTTAGAGGATCGAAGGTCTCCACATTTAACCACGTGAATTTTATTTTTTAATCCCATCCGACCCGAAACGGCAGACATGTGTTATTTTAAGACACGATCGTAGATTAATTATAACACTTAATGGGAATCGATATGGTGTGTCATAAGGGGATAATCTTTTTGCAGTTCACTGCAACATACATACACTCCAACATGACACACATACACATTTGCATATATGAAACACATTTCCATTTAAAAAAAAAATAAACAAACAAATAAAAAAAAAAAAAAGGTTGATTGGTCGTGCAATCATTGACGCGAAACTAAAGTGTAATTTTAAACGCATCTCATTCGCGAGTGCTACTTCGAAACGACGAATGAGTATTTCGTTGAATTGTTTGACTCAGTGATGCATGCCACTAGTCGATGAAAATTCGCGAGGGTTCTGTTTGATGCATTTCTAGTTTCCAAGAGAAAGGTATTAATCGACAGGTCGAAGGTCAACGATGAATAAACCTTCTCATCTTTTTCTCATCTTGTGTCGTGAAAGAGTCAAACCAACCGTACGAACGAACCCTCCTGCATTCGTTGTTCAACCCATTAATCGAAATTAGACAAATTTTCAAGAGATTATTGACACATCGATTTTTATCATCTTATCAACGATAAGATATACATACTAAGATGATGTGGTTACAGGTTGCTGTTGTTTTGTTATAAAAATGTTGATTTTATATCATTTTAAATTAATTATTTGTTGAGATATAACAACACACAAAATAATAGCACAATTATTAATGGAATATTTAAAATAATAATACTCGGAAAAAATATAAAAAGTAAGGTTAGTTACGCCATTTGTAAATCTGAAAAAGAACGTGAAATAATTGTATTGTAATACAGCACCATCTATCGAAAACTTAGAGTACTTAAAGACCTATATAACTTTTAAATAATAATTTCTTAAATTAGCAATAAAAAATACTAAATAATTACAAAATAATACCACAATTAATAATGGAATACATAAATGAAATAATAAAACACGAAACAAATTTAAAAAGTAAGGTTATATCATATGCAAATCTAAAAAAAAATATACGACGTGAATATAGCGAAATATGAATTGTATTACAGTGCTATCTATCGAAAACTTAGAGTACTTAAAGACCTACATAACATTTAAATAATAAATCCTTCAATTAGCAATAAAAAATAAAAATAATCGTGATAAATATTATCTACTACTACTACTACTGTATATGTATAAATATGTTTATAGTTAGTTATGTATTTATCTATTCGTAGCAGAATATTCGAGAATACATTTTACAGTAGGAGGTTATATATATATATATATATGGGGCCGGGCCGCTTACCGCGAATTTCTATTTTCACGTCCATTTTCTACGCTAACGGTAGAATCAACCATCTTCCTATTTCCATCTCAATTAATAGGTATTTCCGAATTGAGTTGAAAAATAATAATAGTAGTGGTGATCGAATCACACTGTTTTCTAATTTTTCTTGTTCATTTACAAACAACATTTTACCATTAATTAATTAAAAAAAAAAACAAAAACAAAAACAAAAGAAATAAATATTTACGAAATATTTAAATAATATTTTCTATTCTCCATTGGACGAATCACAATCAAATTTTTATATTTTAATTTAAGATCTTTATCTTTAACTTTAATTGACGAATTATTTATTTATTTTTTTTTTTTATTATTTAATCAATGCATCGTTTAATTTTTATTTTTAATATCATATTTTTTTTTTTATTTGATTACTCTCTTAGATCGTTTGTTATATTATTTAATTATCAATTTAATTTTGTGTTCGTCGTAAGTTGAAACAAATTTTGTCGAATTTTCTACTTTATCGAACTTTACTTTTTTTTCTTTTTTTTTTTTTTTTTTAAGATAATAAAAAAAAAAGTGAATTTTTTATTTCTCAGGAGAATACGCAAAGTTCGATTTTCTTTCCTTTTTTCATTTTTTTTCTCTCTCTCTCTCTCTCTCTTTTGATTCGTCAATAGTTAGTTGAGAACCCAAGGGAGAAGTTCGACTTTCGTGTAATCGATAGACTACTTCCGACCAATGTACAAAATAGATTTTTCTTAAACCAAGGACATTTTTAAAACGATAAAATAGAAAACTAGCTGTAAAACGAGACAAAACATTGACAGATGTAGAAAAAAAAAAAAAAAAAAATGGAAAGAAAAGAAAGAAACCAAACTTTGTTCAATCAATTCGCATAATATTAAGATGAAAAATCTTTTGTTTTTGTTTAATTATTATCTTATGCAATATTATACAATTCCCCATGCTTTTGAAACATTCAAAGTACTTACAAAAAGCACTTTATTTTTCGACCTGGCTAAGCGTGTCATTCGAATATATTAAAAATGCCGTGAAACGAGTTAAATTTTCTACTTCTACTTCTTCTTCTGCTTCTTCTTTTTTGTTTGTTTGTTTTTTATTTTCTTTTTTTACTTGTTTCACCTCGACGCGTTTAATATTATAAATTGGACGAAAAATATAAACGAATGAAAATATAAGTTAATAYGAAATTACTTTTACACGTATATATATATAATATATATTCTTAATGTATATAAATTACGATGTCACGTTGTTTGTGCGCAATGTACTCCTAAACTACTGAACCGATTTGAATAAAATTTTCCACACTGTGTGCAGTTTCATCCATCTTGAAAGATAGGATAGTTTACATCTCAATTTATAATCGAATTATTTGTTTATTAATTAATTAGAGTCATGATTATTTCTGTTAGTTCGATAAGATTCTAACAGATAGCGGTATAAGGTAATTCATTGACTTAAAGACGTGTGTATCGGACTGATTGTGAGTCACAGCAACGCGTACCAAACACAAGTACAACATTCTTGTATCCTAATTAACAAACAAACTAAAAATATCTTATCTGTATATTATTTTATTTACAATATAAATATCGAACATTTATAGAAAATATTATTGTTTCTTTAAAGTGTTCAAAACACAGATTGGTTGGGGTCGATGTTGAGGGTTAGGTGGATGGCTGAGAAGTTAAAGTATGAATTAACGTTTTTAATGAATCTTTCCATTTTGCAAAAATAGAACCTGGCGGGCGTGCAGGTATCGATTTCGCGGTTCGTTTGACCTCAAACATCGTCTCGGCGTATATTTTTCAAGCTTTATCCTGACGAACGTTAAGAGATGGTAAAAAATCATTTGCATAAACGGATACTTCGGAAAAGACGTGTATCATCTTTATCCTTACTTAAGAAAAAAATAAAAAAAAAAAAAAAAACCCCGTCAAGTTTTATCCGATTTATTTCTTTCTTCTTCTATCCGTGATATATTTCCTTGTTTTCCAACCCCTATTTAATGGTTGAGAATTGAACTTTATAACTATATTTCCATGATCGTCAAGTGAAACGCGTTCAAAAGGTTAAAAACGTTTCGTTGAGACAAAGACTATTTTAATTTGATCGTTTTCCTCCTCCTCCTCCTCCTTTTCCTCCTACTCTTCTTCTCTTTCCTCCTCCCCCCCCACTCTCGACTCATCATATTTCCTCCATTTTCTTCCATCGTTTTATCTTTTTCTTCTTTTTTTCCCCCCCCCCCTTAGCTCTCGCATTAATTATCCTTATAACGTCCTTGTGTTTGATAGGAGGTTTAAAAGAGAGACCAAAAAAAAAATATAAGTATAATAAATACAATACTTTATATATAAGAAATATAATTGGTAAATATAATRTTTAGCAATATTTTGTGCTAATGTATAAAACTTTGGGTGGAAAATACAGTATAATAATACTTGTATAATACTCGACGGTATTACTCTCCTACAGGGCAAATTTTTTTTTTTTTTTACAAGTGGCTTCAAAGGATATTGCGAATTACTATTATTAACATATAAAACGAATTTTCCCTGTAACCTTTAGATATACAATGGAAATGTGAAGAAGAAATTTCTTCAAACGTTTCAAAATGAAATGAACTTTAATCGAACGTTTTTTATACCACATATCGTTCAATTATTTAAAAAAAAAATAGAAAAAAAAATATAAAAAAAATAAATCAATGATTAAAATACGAGTAATATAATAATTCCATCCATGTTTTAACCATAAAACAAAAAGAAATTGAATAAAATCAACGGACTGATCAACATTTTGTTCTTTTATCAAAATAGAAAAAGCCACTTCTTTTTTTTCTTTGCAAATACATGCACATTAATTTCATACACAATCTATTCATCATTTTTGTCCC